TAAAAAAGCAGCGACCTTCTGCTGATTTCTGTGCCTGGTATCTTATTTGAATTTAATGGTTTTCTGCCATTTGAGCGGTGGAAAGTGGAGGCAGAAAATGGGAGAAATGAGGCGAAAAAGAGAGCAACGAAATAAAAAGAGCGACCTTCTGCTGATTCTGTGCCTGGATTTGAATTTAATGGTTTTTTTCATTTGGGGGTGGGTGGAAGAGCGAAAAGGCAAGAAATAAAAGAGAGAGAAAAAAGAGTTTAAAAAGAGCGACTTTCTGCTGATTTCTGGCCTGGCCAGATTTGAATTTAACGGTTTTCTGCCCTTTAAGCGGTGGAAAGTGGGGCAGAAAATGGGAAAAATGAGAGCGAAAAAAGAGAGCAACGAAATACAAAGAGAAACAAGAAAAAAAGAGAATTTAAAAAAAGCAGCGACCTTCTGCTGATTTCTGTGCGCCTGGTATCTCGATTTGAATTTAACGGTTTTTTGCCATTTAAGCGGTGGAAAGTGGAGGCAGAAAATGGGAAAAGTGAGAGCGAAAAAAGAGAGCAACGAAATACAAAGAGAAACAAGAAAAAAAGAGATTTAAAAAAAGCAGCGACCTTCTGCTGATTTCTGTGCGCCTGGTATCTCAGATTTGAATTTAACGGTTTTCTGTCATTTGAGCGGTGGAAAGTGGAGGCAGAAAAAGGGAAAAATGAGAGCGAAAAAAGAGAGCAACGAAATACAAAGAGAAACAAGAAAAAAAGAGAATTTAAAAAAATCAACGACCTTCTGCTGATTTCTGTGCGCCTGGTATCTAAGATTTGAATTTAACGGTTTTCTGCCATTTAAGCGGTGGAAAGTGGAGGCAGAAAATGGGAAAAATGATAGCGAAAAAAGAGAGCAACGAAATAAAAAGAGAAGCAAGAAAAAAAGAGAATTTAAAAAAAAGCAGCGACTTTCTGCTGATTTCTGTGCGCCTGGTATCTCAGATTTGAATTTAACGGTTTTCTGCCATTTAAGCGGTGGAAAGTGGAGGCAGAAAATGGGAAAAATGAGAGCGAAAAAAGAGAGCAACGAAATACAAAGAGAAACAAGAAAAAAAGAGAATTTAAAAAAAGCAGCGACCTTCTGCTGATTTCTGTGCGCCTGGTATCTCAGATTTGAATTTAACGGTTTTCTGCCATTTAAGCGGTGGAAAGTGGAGGCAGAAAATGGGAAAAGTGAGAGCGAAAAAAGAGAACAACGAAATACAAAGAGAAACAAGAAAAAAAGAGATTTTAAAAAAAGCAGCGACCTTCTGCTGATTTCTGTGCGCCTGGTATCTCAGATTTGAATTTAACGGTTTTCTGTCATTTGAGCGGTGGAAAGTGAGGGCAGAAAAAGGGAAAAATGAGAGCGAAAAAAGAGAGCAACGAAATACAAAGAGAAACAAGAAAAAAAGAGAATTTAAAAAAATCAACGACCTTCTGCTGATTTCTGTGCGCCTGGTATCTAAGATTTGAATTTAACGGTTTTCTGCCATTTAAGCGGTGGAAAGTGGAGGCAGAAAATGGGAAAAATGAGAGCGAAAAAAGAGAGCAACGAAATACAAAGAGAGACAAGAAAAAAGAAAATTTAAAAAAAGCAGCGACCTTCTGCTGATTTCTGTGCGCCTGGTATCTCAGATTTGAATTTAACGGTTTTCTGCCATTTAAGCGGTGGAAAGTGGAGGCAGAAAATGGGAAAAATGAGAGCGAAAAAAGAGAACAACGAAATACAAAGAGAAACAAGAAAAAAAGAGAATTTAAAAAAAGCAGCGACCTTCTGCTGATTTCTGTGCGCCTGGTATCTCAGATTTGAATTTAACGGTTTTCTGTCATTTGAGCGGTGGAAAGTGGAGGCAGAAATGGGGAAAAATGATAGCGAAAAAAGAGAGCAACGAAATACAAAGAGAGACAAGAAAAAAAGAGAATTTAAAAAAGCAGCGACCTTCTGCTGATTTCTGTGCGCCTGGTATCTCAGATTTGAATTTAACGGTTTTCTGCCATTTAAGCGGTGGAAAGTGGAGGCAGAAAATGGGAAAAATGAGAGCGAAAAAAGAGAGCAACGAAATACAAAGAGAAACAAGAAAAAAAGAGAATTTAAAAAAAGCAGCGACCTTCTGCTGATTTCTGTGCGCCTGGTATCTCAGATTTGAATTTAACGGTTTTCTGTCATTTGAGCGGTGGAAAGTGGAGGCAGAAAATGGGAAAATTGAGAGCGAAAAAAGAGAGCAACGAAATACAAAGAGAAACAAGAAAAAAAGAGAATTTAAAAAAAGCAGCGACCTTCTGCTGATTTCTGTGCGCCTGGTATATCAGATTTGAATTTAACGGTTTTCTGCCATTTAAGCGGTGGAAAGTGGAAGCAGAAAATGGGAAAATTGAGAGCGAAAAAAGAGAGCAACGAAATACAAAGAGAAACAAGAAAAAAAGAGAATTTAAAAAAAGCAGCGACCTTCTGCTGATTTCTGTGCGCCTGGTATCTCAGATTTGAATTTAACGGTTTTCTGTCATTTGAGCGGTGGAAAGTGGAGGCAGAAAATGGGAAAAATGAGAGCGAAAAAAGAGATCAACGAAATACAAAGAGAAACAAGCAAAAAAAAAAGAGAATTTAATAAAAGCAGCGACCTTCTGCTGATTTCTGTGCGCCTGGTATCTCAGATTTGAATTTAACGGTTTTCTGCCATTTGAGGGGTGGAAAGTGGTGGCAAAAAATGAGAAAAATTAGGGCGAAAAGAGAGAGCAACGAAATACAAAGAGAAACAAGAAAAAACGAGAATTTAAAAATATCAGCGACCTTCTGCTGATTTCTGTGCGCCTGGTATCTCAGATTTGAATTTAACGGTTTTCTGCCATTTGAGGGGTGGAAAGTGGAGGCAAAAAATGAGAAAAATTAGGGCGAAAAGAGAGAGCAACGAAATACAAAGAGAAACAAGAAAAAACGAGAATTTAAAAATATCAGCGACCTTCTGCTGATTTCTGTGCGCCTGGTATCTCAGATTTGAATTTAACGGTTTTCTGCCATTTGAGGGGTGGAAAGTGGAGGCAAAAAATGAGAAAAATTAGGGCGAAAAGAGAGAGCAACGAAATACAAAGAAAAACAAGAAAAAACGAGAATTTAAAAATATCAGCGACCTTCTGCTGATTTCTGTGCGCCTGGTATCTCAGATTTGAATTTAACGGTTTTCTGCCATTTGAGGGGTGGAAAGTGGAGGCAAAAAATGAGAAAAATTAGGGCGAAAAGAGAGAGCAACGAAATACAAAGAGAAACAAGAAAAAACGAGAATTTAAAAATATCAGCGACCTTCTGCTGATTTCTGTGCGCCTGGTATCTCAGATTTGAATTTAACGGTTTTCTGTCATTTGAGGGATGGAAAGTGGAGGCAAAAAATGAGAAAAATTAGGGCGAAAAGAGAGAGCAACGAAATACAAAGAGAAACAAGAAAAAACGAGAATTTAAAAATATCAGCGACCTTCTGCTGATTTCTGTGCGACTGGTATCTCAGATTTGAATTTAACGGCTTTCTGCCATTTGAGGGGTGGAAAGTGGAGGCAAAAAATGAGAAAAATTAGGGCGAAAAGAGAGAGCAACGAAATACAAAGAGAAACAAGAAAAAACGAGAATTTAAAAATATCAGCGACCTTGTGCTGATTTCTGTGCGCCTGGTATCTCAGATTTGAATTTAACGGTTTTCTGCCATTTGAGGGGTGGAAAGTGGAGGCAAAAAATGAGAAAAATTAGGGCGAAAAGAGAGAGCAACGAAATACAAAGAGAAACAAGAAAAAACGAGAATTTAAAAATATCAGCGACCTTCTGCTGATTTCTGTGCGCCTGGTATCTCAGATTTGAATTTAACGGTTTTATGCCATTTGAGGGGTGGAAAGTAGAGGCAGAAAATGAGATAAATTAGAGCGAAAACAGAGAGCAACGAAATACAAACAAGAAAAAAACGAGAATTTTAAAATAGCAGCGACCTTCTGCTGATTTCTGTGCGCCTGGTATCTCAGATTTGAATTTAACGGTTTTCTGCCATTTGAGCGGTGGAAAGTGGTGGCGGAAATGAGAAAAATTGGAGCGAAAAGAGAGAGCAACGAAATACAAAGAGAAACAAGAAAAAACGAGAATTTAAAAATAGCAGCGACCTTCTGCTGATTTCTGTGCGCCTGGTATCATAGATTTGAATTGATCGGTTTTCTGCCATTTGAACGGTGGAAAGTGGAGGCAGAAAATGATAGAAATTAGATCGAAACGAGAAGGAACGTTTGAGTCGCTTCTGGGGACGCGACTGTACTCTACTGAGTATATATACTTTATGGGGTCGGAAACGTGTCCTTATCTGCGTTACACACATCCACTTTTACCACAAATACAATATACCCCCTTTTTGAGTACGGAAATAAAAACCAATTTCGGGAATAACCAACCAATACCACTGTCGTTGTATAAACTGGCACATCTATATACTGTATGGTTAGTGGCCTAGTTAAACCCTTTGGGGTTGCAATAGTAGCACTCCGATTCAGACTATTGATCTGCCTGTTCAGACAATACCCATTCCAATAGCAATGCAGGGTATTATTAGCAAACAGTCGTCAAGAGTCCAAAGACTGCCTGCCAAACCAGTTTTAAAATCAAAAATGCTGATAAACAATACGAGTGTGCCCACCCAGGGCGCCCCAGTCCAGAATCTGTTATCAACATTTCGAGACGCTGCTCCGGATATCCACGTTTACAAACGTGTGCGTGTTTACACACGCACACACACCTTCAGACATGCACGCTGTGCCGGCAATTGCATTCCAGCCCAGACTCTCCTCTCACACTGGAAGCCTGGCTTGGCTTCGGCTTCCAGCTCGACTATGAGCGACAGATCCGAGCGACTCTCGGCTCAGTTGACCAGACAGCAGAGCAGAGCTAGTAGATTCAGAACCCTGCTGGACAGTCAAGAGAAAGATGGATCTGTGAGAATCATTTGATTCATAGGAAGTGGATATGTACGAATATATCTGCATTTATTTTAGCTTGACTCAATTCACACCTTTCGGCTGCCTCTCATGGGTGGGTGGGTTTGTTGTACATGTGCTAGGGGCTAGGGGCTGGGGATGATGGGTCTGGTCTCTGGGTCGGAGGCAGAAGCTCCCTCCGACTTGGGCTGGCCACTGCCCGCCCCCGCCGGCCTGTGCTTGTGGGAGGCGAGCTGTGCCCGGGTGAGGACGCTGCAGCTGCAGGTGACACAGTGGTAGTGGGTGTGCCGCAGCGCGTAGGAACAGGCCGGGACGTTGCAGGACTCGCTGCTGGTGACCTTGCGGAAGCCCGCGGAGCGGACATAGTCCAGGCGCAGGTGCAGACGTCGGTGGGCCACCACCTTGTTGGAGTCCGTGCAGACGTAGTCGCACTTGCGGCAGTGAAAGTGCGAAGTCTTCTTGGCTGCTGCTCCCCCTGGGGAAGCCTCTTCGGGACAGCCGGAGGCATACAAGCAGCTGGCCACGCCGCAGCGCATATTGGCCCGAAACTGCTGGAAATCATCGCCCATCAGCGTGTCCATGCGATCGTGCCGCGCCGTGTGCTGCACGAAGCGCGTCTTGTCGCAGAAGCTGTAGTGGCAGTCCCGCCGGTTGCAGTGGAAGTGCGACTGGTGGTTCCTGTACCCGCACCGATCGAAGCCGCAGTCCTCGTTGAAGCGGAACTTCAGGTACCCGCTGGGAATGTCGTGATCCCGCGCCCGCTTCGGGGTTGGCCGAGGCGGCGTCACCGTCACCGTTGTCGTCGCCGTGCTGCTCATTCCCAGCGTTGGTGTCCCCACTGACGAAGTGGCTGCCGCCGCCGCCGCTGATGCAGCTGCTGCTGCTGCACTGGCAGCGGCTGCATTGATCAGCATCATCTTCTGTTGGGCGGCATTCTCGAGCAGCAGGCGCATGTCCAGTGGGGCCATCGGCTGGCTGTTGCTGGCAGCGGCCAGGAAGCTGGGCAGCAGCACCTGCCTCTGGTACAGGTCGATCAGCTGTTTGAATTGCAGCAGATTCAGATTCAGACCGGTATCCGCCGCTGGCAGCTCTGCTCTTGCTTCTCCACTGTCGTTGGCCTCGGGCTGGAATGGGCGCATGCTCAGATCTTCGGGCTGGTCCAACGCCAAGTCCGCTTCCTTTTGGCCCATCCTATCGGCCACTTCGGTCTGGTGAGCGGTGCAGGCGTTCTCCGGATAGAAAGTTCCTGCCGCACGGACAACTGAAATGGCGGAGGGTAAGTGGCGAGTGGTGGCATGCCCCTGAATGGATTGACTCACCGGAAACCCTCTCCGGAACTCTGCCCGAGACGTTCTTTGATGATACTGCATCTGCAGAGTGAGGAATGGGCTGAAAGGATATCGGTAAAATATCATTTAGAATTCATTCAGGAACTATCTGTGCCCTACCTGGGCTGAGGCTTCCTCCTTGGGGCTGACTTGGACTTGGATTCGTTTGCTCGTCTCCTCCGGGCATGTGGCCCACCAGCGACTCCGCTTCCGGCTCCGACTAGGGGTGAGATCTGTGGCTCTTCCTGCACGCTCCTCTCCACTCTCGCCCGTTGCGGCGCCACTTGGGGTGGCAGCAGCAGGCGCAGCACTCGGTTGCTCATTCCTCTCCAATTTGAAGCTGGTAAAGATGGCCTGCGGCGACAGCTGAGCCTGCAAGAAGCCTTTGTTGGTTACTCAATCAACGGATTCTCCTACCCAATACCCGTGAGTGGACTCAGTCCCCGACGCTGTCATAGTTTTCGATTTTTGGAACTCAGATTTTCGGATTTTGGATTTATGACAAACGGTGCGCGCCCGCAACCAGTTTATTATTTCCGAAATTACTGTTAATGTTTGTCGTTTGCCCAAAATGTCACTATTTGAATTTTGTTCACGCATCAAATCAATAATAAAGCGAGAAAGAGACACATGGAGAGAGAATGAGCGACGTGTACGAGCCACTGGAGAAACCACACAAAACTATATACAAAAAAAAATAGATATAGAAAATGCGCCATGGAATGTCCCAACCAATGGATACCCTAACCCATAAATGGGCATATGAAAGTCGCAAAAAAGTTAATGGTGGTTGATTGAGAAATGATATTGGAAATTGGGAATCGCTGAGCTGATTCCCTTAAAATTAATGGAATATTTTCCAGGAGTATTAAGTTCCCTTAACTTTGCTCTGAGCTGTTATTTATCCAAATATTCAATCATTTGAGAAGACTTTCCATGTGTGGAGAGCACTCGTATTCGTAGTCGTACTCTCCATGGCTCGTATTAATAATTACACCGAAAACATTGAAAGACAATGAAACGAGTTTGCTGCTTGGCTCTGATAACTTGTGTGTGTGTGCCACACTCCAGCGATACGCACACCTTATTTGTTTAAATACGATACGTACATATGTATGGGGAATTATTATTATTATTTTAATTATTTGTACTGGTTGCTGGCTGTGTGTCGTATCGTTCCTTTCAATCGCCATGGGAGAGACACAGAGAGATTATCGAATGAATCGCTCAGAGGCACCTTCCACATCCACTTCCACTTCTCCCATCTAGCCCTTGCACATGCACAGATTCCATTCCCTTGGACCGATTTGGGTCAGGCATTATAATACGTGGATCCGCAGCAATCGGGCAGGCTGGCAGGCGGTGGGGGGCTTATTTCCCAAAAGAATGCCACAAATGGCAATGGACAAAATATTTATTCAAATGTGATTGTTTATCCACAGCACAGCGCAGCACAGCACAGCAGAGAGACAAGCCACCCCAACCAATGAATGGGTCCGCCAAGGAGAGTGACGCGTGGGCTGTGGGTAATCGTAAGCGCACACACACAAGTGCGGCAAGGCAAGTGGATGGTGCGGCATGGTGGTGGAGTGGTACGCCGTGTGGTGTGGTGTGGTGCGTGTGCCTGAGCCCAGCGAGCGATCAAACTCGGATCGACGAACAAAAACAACAACGAAAAAATGTAGAAATTATGAAAATGACAGTTAAAAGCACAAAACGTTCGTCGATGCCGCCGCCAGACGGGCGTAAATGAAATAAATGCGGAAACACTCGTTGTCAATATTAATATGACGAATATGGCAAAAACCAAATCTGAATACACCACACGGCACGGCACGGCACACAAAATGCCGCATTAGGGCCCCCAGTCGATAAGAGACTAGATGGGATGGGATGGGTAAAGGGGGAGGTGGGTAACAGGGCCAAGCGGCCAACGTTGCACACAAATAGGCGCAAAATGCCAAACAGCAGAACTGCATTCGGGCTACTGGCTGCCCCAGACACACCGAAAAGGAGTCAGCCCCGTAAGTGGGTCAAATCACCGATACGAATCCCCAACAAATGCCCAAATACTCGATCTACTGGTACTTACGCTCTTGTAGACCTCCACAAAGCGATTCTTGGGCGGACGGCCGCGTTTCCGATTGAAGAATCCATCGATGGAGGTAATTTGGGTCGTCTGTGTGCCCTGGCTGGGGGTGTTTGGCTCGCCGCTGGCATCCACATCCGCTCCTGGTGTGGCGGACTCCATTGGGCGTGCTCTCCGACAGCTGGCAATGACAAAAAGAGTTGAGTTTGCAAAGTGATACGATGGGGGGGAATTTTAGCCCAAAATTTTACACCAACACATGCACACACAGACACAGATGAGTCATTCAATCAACGATTCACTCCGGCACTCAGCCACTCAGCAGAAATCAAAGAAAATAGCCAGAAAAGGGGGGGCCTTTGACCCGATCGGAGGTCAGGTTTCGGCGCCAGGCCCCCTCGCCGGGCTCAAGTGACCGGCCCTCGGACCAGCCAGGGAGGGGGGTGGGGTTGACTGCAGCGCGTCTTGGCCAGAGCACAGACGATTCCCCGAACACTTTGCATATGGAGCATATCGATATGGATCGATATTTATTATGCGGCTGTGCGGCTGCTGTCGACTCCAGCGAATTCCAGCGAGAGATCTGTGGCGGATTAATGGCGAAATCCTGCACAATGCAGCTCTGCCCAGCAATGATGCAGATGGGTGGTCGTCCCCACCAATTAGGCACCGTACCCTTCCCCTTCCCGTGCCCCTGCCCGCCCCACCTGGCGATTGTCTGTTGTCGATTAGCTCTCTTCTTTGGCTCACATGCCGCTCCCCAGTCCTGGCAGATAGACATCTACATGGGCCCATGGGAGGGAGCGTTTTTTTGTTTTAGTCATTTAACATCCAGCTGCAGCGGCATCCATATCCATATGAGTTACTTGCACTGCTGCCAGGAGTCCAATTCAATGGCACTCATTAGTCGCTGGGCCCACAACTGGAGGAGCCCTGCACAAAAGAGCAGATTCTTCAGATTACCAACGATTACCAATAACTGACAGTTTGAAGGCGAAGGCAACTTTATCTCGATGCCGAATCAGCCACACACAGAAACAAACAAACAAACACACACCGTGGCAGGGGCACTCTTTGATAGAACCGATCTGCAGCACATCACCCACCAATTATATGGCCAGTGGGAAGGCACCAGCAGCACACATTGCCCGCCAGTGGGGGTGCCCTGATAAATCAGTTCTCTTGGCGACACCTTGGAGCACTCAATCGTAGCAGTCCAGCCAGCCAACTTAATCGAATCGAAAACCAAAATCCAATCACCAAACCAAACGAAACCGAACCGAACCGAGCCGAACCGAGACGCGTCTATCGCTGCCAAGAAACGCTGATCGAGTGGCGGGCCAGACCGGCAAGCCAAGTCGGACCCAAGCGAGTCGGCTCGAGCCGAGCTCAGGCGGTAACGAAGGCGCGCTCCACGAGCCACCATGAGTCATGCCGAGAGCCGAACACCCAACGAATTCCGATTCGGGTTTGGTTGGGGCGCCCAGCGTAAAGAGGATTTGGATCCTACACTTGTCTGGGAAGACAAAGAGAAATTTGTACAGAAAGCAACAAACAAACACAGTCCAATGAATGACTGACTATCCAATGGGATAGCAACTGCAACAATACCGATGTACCGATTTGACAGTCAGAAGAGATGGAGACGATCCCTCCTATGTCCGTTTATATTGTCAAAGGGTTTATTCAACGCTTCTATTAGTTCCCTCTGCGTGTGTTCTTTGGGTAACTCATGTGGCCATCTGTTTGCTGTTTTCTGCCCAGTAGGTAGGTAGATGCTTAATACATGTATGAATTTCATCTTACAGATCCTGGCTCCCTTATCCTAGATTAGATTATGGTTATCTTCAATGTCCAGGCGTAGTCCAGGCCCCGCTTATCCATGTGGTTCTTTGGGGGAAATTTGATGTGCAGCTTGTTATGGTTCGATGTCCACTGCAGATGGGGGGATTAATAAATATATAAAGAGCAGATTGAGGACTTATCTATACCTGAATATCGGTTCCCTCCATGCCCAGCATGACCACTTGGGTTGTCTGTTTGGTCAGGACCTCGCCGTCGGTGCCAAAGTCGAGGCCGGTTAAGTGCACGTTGCGGGATATGGTGATCTGCTTGCCCAGCGGGTGTATGTCCAGTTCGTTGGTGTCGTACGGATAGTCCAGCACGAAGGCGTAGATGGTGACGCTGCTATTGGACTCGGACTCGGCCTCGGCCTGCTGGCCACGTGTGTACCACACGTTCGGCGTCTCGGTGTCGTTCTGATAGATCCATGGCACGCTGCCGTAGATACCCTCGCCGTTGATCTTCAGCCAGCGGCCCATGTCGCGCAGCCGCTCCTCGAATATGGGCAGAATGGTGCCGTACTTGGTGGGTCCCACATTGATCAGGACATTGCCGTTGCAGCTCACCGTGCTGACGATTTCTGAAACATGCGAAATGCGTAATTGATTTGGAGCTGGCTGGCTGGCTGGCTGGCTGGCGATAATACAGACCCTTTATTAGGTCCTTGGAGCTCATAAAGCTGGCAAGACTGACGTCGAAGCGTTGGCCCCAGCTGCTGCGCTCCAGGGTGAAGGCGTTCTCCCACTTGTGGGACTGCAGCACGCCCGGATTGAAGCGATCCGCGCAGTTGTAGAAGTCGCCGTGCGTGCAGGCCGTGCCCATGCCCCAGCGATCGTTCGTCACCACTGTGTCCCGCACCGGACTGTCGTTGTAGAGCCAGGCAATGAACTCCTCGGACTTCCAGTACTTGGCCGGTGCCTCCCAGTCGCCGTCGGACCAAATTATCTCCGGCAGATACTCCTGCACCAGCTCCAGCTGCTCGGGCCGCACCTTCTGGTCCACGAAACTGTGCTGCATCAACAGATGCAGCTTGTCATCGATCCACAGGCGATTGAACCACTCGAAGAGCGAATAGTACAGGCCGAACTTCAGATCCGAAACGCTGCGCACAGCTGCCGCCAGTTCCTCTGTGGAGGTAAGAAGAAGAGAGCTGAGACTGTGCCTCAAGCTGTGGCACGGAACAGGAATACTCACTGACTATATCGCGCTTGGGTCCCACGTCCATGGAGTTCCAGCTGAAGCTGTGCTTCGAGGGCCAAAGGGCGAAGCCATCGTGATGCTTGCTGGTGAGCACAACATATCTGGAGATAGGTAATTTTCAACTGTATAATCAGCAGTACGGAGTATATCTATCCATGAGTATATATATATGATACCTGGCTCCGCTATCGCGAAACAGCAACGCCCATTGAGTGGCATTGAAAAGCTCCGCTGTGAATTGGTCTGCGAATTCCTGATAAGTGAAGTCCGGCTTGTAATTGAGCTGCATGAATCGTACGTACTCCGGTGTGCGCAGATCTGGAATACACTCAGCTCAGAGCTCTGGATTCCATACTCTCCACCATATGTGTGTGCGTCGCGCGTGTGTGCGTCATACTCACTCTTCCAATTATGCCAGAACCATTCGGAGCCGAAGCTCGGCACCGAATATACGCCGTAGTGCAAAAATATGCCCACTTTGGCCTCATCGTACCAACGGGGCAGGGGCCTCTGGTCCAGACTGGCCCAATTCGGCTCGTAGCGGGTCCGCGGTGCCATCCCCTGTGCTTCATCCGATTGCCATGCGACCAGCCCCATCCCCACGAGCACCATCCCCATCCAAGCGGGGAATCCAAATCGCATTCCAAATCCCATTCCTCTAATTAAGCCACTGAATCTGCTCTAGCTCTGCTCTGCTCTGCCTCTGCCTCGCTGCACTGCTCGACGCTCGACGCTCGGAGCTCAACTGAGCCGAGAGTCGCTCGGATCTGTCGCTTATAGTCGAGCTGGAAGCCGAAGCCGAAGCCAAGCAAGGCTTCCAGTGGGAGAGGAGAGGCTGGGCTGGAATGCAATTGCCGGCACAGCGTGCATGTCTGACTGTGTGTGTGTGTGCGTGTGTAAACACAGCCGTGGATATCCGGAGCAGCGTGTCGAAATGTTGATAAGAGATTCTGGAATGGGACTGAGACGGGCACTTGTATTATTTATCAGCATTTCTAATGTGTAAACAGGTTTGGCAGGCAGTCTTCGGGCTCTTGACGACTGTTTGCTAAAAATACCCTGCATTGGCATTGTCTGAACAGGCAGATCATTAGTCTGAATCAGAGTGGTACTATGGCATGCCCAAAAGGGTTTAACTAGGCTTAGTTGTGGGATAGACTGTTAACACTAACAATACCAACCTTGTCCACATTTACTTGTAGCCTTCTGCTGTTCCAGTGGCAGAGGAGAACACGTGGACTGACAACATATTTTTCTATAATTAACCAGCCGAAAGTGGAGTGCAGGATGGTGTTTGCATTATCGACAAGTGGTTCGTCCATTTTTAACCCATGGAAACTGTTCAAAGTTCACACAACCCGTAAATGGATCAGGCATACCTTTAAAAGCGGTAGACTCCTCCAAGGAAGGCATCAGTCTCTGGCGTCTGCTCCCCTGAACAAGTCCATTTACACACCAACATGAAGCTGACCATTTTCATCGTCGGTAAGTGCAAAGCTCCGATCCCCGCCAAAGGATCGGTTCTTAATCTCCTTCATTACTTCATTTCTTATCCTTTCCATTTCTATACATTCGCAGCGAGCATCCTGCTCATCAGCTTCGCCGATCTGGGCACTGGATGCAAGACCCCAAACAACAAGCCCCCAAAAGGCAAGCCCCCAACCAATCCCTGCGACTTGTGCGGCTTATGCGGTCCCGGTGGAACCGCCTGCCAGGGATGCAAAGGAAGGGACGGTCTCTGCCAGGAGCTGCTCGACAATGTGCGCGTCCTTGAACGCAAGATCCGCCAGTGCGTGTGCGGGGAAAAGTCGTGGTTGCTGTAAAGTGGATCCCTCAGCCTCCTACTCCTACTTCCTGTTGTGACCCCTGCCTGGACTACTCTTACGCCATTGTAATTGTTATGTTTTCATCAATTCATCTTGTTTAAATTTACTCTTGTATGCATAAAAAACCATGCGGAATGCTGACATCGGTCGCCTTCCCATCTTTCATTCTGTTGCAAAAATGTTCGCATTTATATTCCATCAAAAAGAAAGCCACGAAAGTCGGTAGATCGTTGAAGGAAATGTGGGGGTGGTGCATACATACATAACTGATCGGAATTGTCGTGCTCCAACTCCGGCTGTATAAATTGTATACGCATTTATTTTAGTGGATTTAATCAGAGTTCAGTCTATAGCCAACAAGTGAATGGCATTCGTATATTTTAATTCGATCTACCCGTTTCCATTGATATTCCCTTTGATCGAGCGTATTCAATTGGTCATTTGTGATTAATGCTGTAATAGCCGGAGGACTCCAGGGTACGACCTCGTGCATACCCATCCAAAATGAGAACAGAACTACATTATTTTTATTTTGTCACATTTAAAAAATTTATTTTTTTTTGTATTGATTTTTTGATGTTTTTTATTCAACTTTTACACAGAGAAAAAATTAGATTGCAATTGTTGCATTTGTTTGTTTAATTTGATTAATTAAAATTTGTTAAGTTGCTAGAATTTGTTAAGCGCTACTAAAATTTAAATTTGTTGTTTTGTTTTTGTTTTTCTTCATTACATACATTCATAGGTAGTATATATAATATATATCAATATATTGTTTTCTCTGATGAACTCGCGTCAGAAACTCCATGGACCTGCCTGCTTGCCCGCCGATGCACATACTCGTATCATAATGGGAACGCTTAACGGTTACAACACATGGCTAAAATGTGTACAACATAGATGGGCTTTAACTGGACACTATTCGGGCAGCAGTGGAGCAGTGGATCGAGACCATATTGCAATCCATATTCAAAATCCGAAAATAAGACAAAACGAAACGAAACTGATATCGAGATGAAACTGAAATCTCCGCTCAGATTACACATGGTGGGATAATCGTTTGAATAGAACTTCCTATCGAGAGTCGCGGATGCAATTGGAATGCAGTTCAAAATATAATATTATGTAATATAGTACTCTATGTACTGTATGTATGTGGTCTGATGGTGTAATGGGTGGAGTGTGGATTCAGTGGAGGCGCGTCGCTTAATTGATTTGTAATTTGATTCTTGAATGCTTTAATTGGTTCCCTTAAACAACACACACACAGATACGCACATCGATAATATACACATACATATGCACATACATGTAGTAGTAGTAATGGTAATCGTAATATTTGTTTTTTGCTTAATCGGTAACTCTGTAGTCCGTAATAGAATATGTAAAAATTCTACAATATATAGCCATAAATCTATCTTGTATATAGAATATTTACTTTCTCTTGCTTATGCGCTTGATTTCGCCTTTTGTTTACTTGTCTCTTTCTTGTTTTATTTTTCCATTTCATTTATCATTATTGTTTACAAAATACTTTGAGGAGCACTGGACGTGTCTAAGATTCTTCCTTCTCTCTGCTTACACTTATCCATGAGAACGAAACGAAAACCTCTCTCTCTCTCCCTCTCTATCTACCTCTTCCGCAGATACATACATATATGTGTATGTATGTATGTACGATAAAAATTCAAACAGAAACCCTAGTTCCTAATTCCGTAACAACATCAAAAGCGTGGCGAACTCAACTACAAAGCCTATCAACATGGGTGGAGCAACTCAAAGGGATGATCAGGCATGGGTGAGTGGGTATATTCATGTAATTCGGGAGCTCTACAACTTATAGGTGTGTCTACTACAGACAAAATAAGTTATATGTGTGTGTGTGTGTGTGGCTAATACTCGTGTACTTTTGCTGGATCGAACAAACAAAAATAATTAAATAATTGCATATTTTTATGTAGCTTTTACGTTTTGCATTTGCATTTGCTTTTGTAAGTTTTAAATTTATTTAAGTTTACGTGTTATTATTTAATAGATCACATTCATGGTTCTATTTCTTCACTTGCTCTATTTATGTTCACATTTAATTCGTAATACAGTACACATATCGATTGGTTTTCTCTCGTTTTTTGTTTTTTTTTTAGTTTTGTTTTATATATTTTTATTGCTGCTACGGTGGCCCTATTTACATAACACTAGACATATATCTCTACTTTTGTGTATGTGTGTGTGTGTCTGATGCTCGAAAGAGATGGGATTGAATTGATACTTGAGTTTTGAGTTTTGAGATGGCTAAAACACATGTTAGCGTTAGCGTTATTGTATGCATTTGAAGTGGGGGTGTAAAGCAAGATTTTGTTAATATCTAAATGTTACATATGAATTCTACACCGTCTGCTTCTGCTTGCTATCGAGATCTTTGTGGGATTGATTGATAATTATTGATGGATTTGATGGATTAAGTTTTAAGCTATTCGTAAATTCTCGTTTGCTATTTTTTTTTTTTGTTTTGTTTTTTCTTGCGTGCGTCTGTGTTCATGTTTTAGTGTTATGTTTTGTGGGTTGAGTAAAAACTACAATTACATTTGTCGAATACTGGGGATCTGTTTGATTTCGTGCAACATCAAGATTTTGTTTTTGTTCAGATATTACAGATTACAGATGAATTTTGCTCCGATTTTTTCGATTTTCACTTGTTTTTTCGTTATTCTACGCTAAAAATTATTTTAAAATTTATTAACACAGATGACTTTATATTTTCCGAAAGTTTTCCTCTTCTTCTTCTCCATTTCATTTTCCTTTTCCACTTTAGTTACCCATTTTAGTTTTCAATAATTTTTTTGTTTTGTTTTTTTTTTTATAAATAATTTCATTGCTTCGATCTTGTAATCCAAAAACAATTCGTTTGCCAAACTATCTAGCCGAAAGTTATCCATACATGTATACAGGTTAATATCTGGGTGTTGTTGTTTTGAACCGATGCTGATGATCGTCGCTTCATTGTGTTGTTGCAATTGGTTTATTAACTACAGATACTACGGATAAACACACAGCTACGCACATTGAATGAATTTTCTGCTGGATTTTCGCCTTTGCTTGTTTAATATTAAAACCTTACTCTAGAAACACATCGAATATTAGAAATATTGTATCTTTCATATATATATATCTATATATATGTATATTTGTTATATGCGCAGCCCCTCTATGGGGGCTGCGATCTCTATAGCAAAGTTTGTAACTCTGCGCGCAAACAAAATTATTATAGTATTGATTAAAATAATAATACAAAGATTAATCGTAATTGGTGGAAATATTTTTGAGAATTCCAGTTGGTTCTATTGTTGGTTTGGATTTTACTTGGTTTGTTTTTTTTTGTTTTGTTTTGTCTCTCTCTTTATCCGGGATCTGCTCTTGGGCGTCCAGCGGATGGATACTTGTCTGTAATACTCTCCGAACTATGATTTCCGAATCTCTAGCTGGTTTCTGTGTGTACGTGTTTGTTTGGGTTCATGTTTAATGTTCGTGTGTTTGTATGCGTTTCTCAATATTCATAATTATTATATAATATCACATCAACTTTGTTTTTTTTTTATTCTTCATTTGTTATTATGCATTACTTCCTCTGCCCCTCCTCGCCGCAGAGCTCTACTGCTGCTTATTGTTTTCTCTCATTCTGGTTTATAAAGATCTGGAGTTTATCAGTGTACTATCTATATACGGGCATACGATGAAAATCATGCAATGATGTACACACATCCGTACACTAATAACTCCATGATCCGTCTACGTGTGGGGGAATTTTGCCCTTACGCTCGAAACGGGTCCCCGACAACCGCTCACTGAGTGAAGTTCTCTCTGTCGCTCGTCCGAGTCTGACAATTAACATTTTACAATATTTTGAATATTTCTTATGGTTTGTGTGTGTCGCCCGTCCGCCTTCAATGCGGAGCCGTTCCTCCTCTTTTTATAAATTTTCGATTTATATTTTCCAAAAAGTAACTTTTTTTTTTTAAGCCAAAAGTCAGTCCAATAAGAGTTTTGAGTTGCCTGCAACTGCAGTTGATTTGTTTGTTTGTTTGTTGGGTTTTCTTCCTCTAGAGGAGGTTTTCAAAATAATTGTTGGTTAGAGTTGAGTTGTTTGTTTGTTGATTTGTTGCTTGCAGGATTGGTTGATTGGTTGATAGTTGTGGTCCAAAGTTGTTGCCTCTACGGTTAAACGTTTCCTGGTTACAGGATGAAGATCTTTGATGGAACGCACCCGCACGTTCGCGTTCCCGTTCCCAGCGGGAACAAGGCCCAGGGACGTGGACGCGAGTGTGTGTGTGGATGTGGGGGCCAGTGCTGCTACTACGGCTTTTCGGCTGCTGCTGCTGATGCTATTACTGTTGTTCGGAGGGATTGAGTATTAAGTAGCGCCTCTGTGTCCACATCCACATCCACACCCACGTCCCCGTCCATGTCCCGGCCAGGGCCTCACTCGGATGAGTATAGCTTGTTCTTGGTCAGTGTGAAGTCCGGACTGATGTTGATGGTGTTGCTACGGGTGAGATTTCTGCGAGGCAAGAGAATAGCACGGATTAGTGGTGTCTCTCCAATGGAAGAGCGACTCTACTCACTTGAGAAACTGCGGCAGCTTCGAGGTCCAGCCGCTCTTGTCCTGCTTCAATGTCAAGTACAGCTCGAAAATCGACACAGTGTCTGGGTCCACTTTGAACGAGGCGATGCGCCTGAGGGGAGCAACAGAACCAAATGGAATCGTAAGCGCGGCTCCAACGGAGATCACTCAGATCAGATCACTCACCTGACATTGTTCGGCTCGCTCTCGAACTCGATGAAGAGCGTGCAGGCGCGCTCGCCACACGGCTCCCGGTCCGACATTCGGATGACCTCGGCGGCGATGCGCTCCGTGAGATCAGCGGGCAAGTTCACCTCAGTGCAGGCCAGGTGGCGCTGCTTGGCATCCCTCAGCTGGAACTGCAGCTGCTGCGACAGGTCCCGCACGGCGCTGGCGCTCACGTCGTCCATGTTGTCGGCGGCTCCGAAGCGAGCGCCAGCCGTCGACTGCAGTGGCGAAGCCGGCATGGGGCTGGGCCCGGGTCCGTGGCCATGCCCAGGGTGGTGGGCGGTACTGGCCAGCACGTTGGTCATGTAAGCGTGGTGGTAGGCAGCGGAGCTGCCGTTGACCACGTCGAAGCTGGCTGCCACCGCGGACTGCTTGCCAGAGCCGGTCACCGGGGGTGCCATCGGCACCGTTGGCCGCGTATTGAGCGCTTGGTGCTGTCGCATGTGCAGCACGGAAGCTGGATGCCCGTCCACAACGTCTGCGTCCAGTGCGGCGTCGACGTCTGCCTCGTTCTCCTCCTCCTCCAGCGGATGCGGCGCGGTGGATGCAACGCCCGAACTCGGCCAGTCTGCTAGGGAGAGGGGAGAAGAGAGTGTGGTTCAGATTACTGACTCGTTCATCGACCGGCAAAAGGGCAAGAGAAAAGGCAAAGGAGAATTCATAAAGAAGAAGAGAACACAAAAAAAAAAATCAGCTGATGTCTGGGGGGTTGGAGAGACCCACACGGCTTCGGATTCTCACTCGGATTTCCACTCAAGACACTGCGCAGACTCCACTCGAGTTGCTTCCAGGGAGCCGGAGCGCGGGGCGACACGAAATCACCTGGCAACAACAGCTGGAAATCAGCCGTTTGCTGTGCACTCTTTCGCCTCTGCTTCTGCGTTTCCAGCTGACGACTCTCCCCCTTTTCGCCTCTCTCGCAGTCAGCAGTTTAGTTTGTGCCATTCATTCCCCTTTCTGCCTTCCTCAGCCCCCCTCGACACATCAGGCGTTATATGACGTCTTCCTCATTTTGCCTTTACTTTACTGCACAGTATTTCTTTTTTTTTTTTTTTCTTTTGCTTTTTGTTTTATTACCCCACCAGAGAGGCCGTACAGTGGGACAAACAAGCGAAAGACACGCACTTCGAGAAAAGTATTTCTGTATGAGTGTATGTTTTGCTTCTGCGGATAATGAATACATATTTAATTCTGGAATCGGATGCAGCACTGTCATTTAATTTGTACATCTTTATGCCGAATTCCCCGTTTCATCCCATTGTCTTTCGTGTTTAATGTGTGTACTTGTGTGTGCGTGTATAAAAAGCAGTTACATTGCCCCTCAACATTGTATAGGTTCGTATGTGTGTGCAAGTACAAATTAACTGCTTTGACTCGACGTCTCGACGAGCGTCTTGTAATTAGCGCGGAAACTCTTTAAAGAGCCACGCCACGCCGTGCCACCCCCCGCCGACGTAAACCATTGTACACAATCATTGCAACGTCGCACAGTGGGGCCTCAGCCGCAAAGAGGTGGCAAAAGTTTCATCTAATTCATCTAATTTGTGGGTTGTTTTTTAACTTTAACTTGAAATTAAAAAAAAAAAATATATATCCCTACATATATTTTCAACAGATCAACATGCTCTTTGAATATTTCTTTACCTAAGCTGAAAAGCTCTCCCACATAAAATCCAAATTGTGCCGTTTTTCGTGCGAGGTAGCGTCACTCTCTCTCAGTGTCTCTCATTCACTCTCCTACCTTCATCAGCGTGTGTTATTGGATTTTGTCAAGTGCGCGCTGTCTCCTCTCACCCTGTCCATGGGTGCGGAGAGGGGAAAAGGGTTTGCTTCGTGTAAAGTCAGGAAAGCGAAAGCCAAAAGGAACGGGAATATGAAACAGAGACAAGCGACCACCAATACACATTTAATTGCAAAGTACTCATCCGAGACCGAACCGCATATTTAGTTCGTCTCTCTCTCTATCTCTCTCTGTCGCTCAGAGTATAGTTGGTGTGTGAGAGTGCTTTTTGATAAATATACTTTGTTCTTGTCAGAGCCGGCAAATGGAAAAGAGAGTGAGTGAGCGATAGAAAAGCTTAAGGGACATCTGCTTTGTCGCTCCTTGCGCGTCTCCTTTCGAAGAAATGTGTTGCTTTCGCAGATCTTTAATATCGTTTACAGGTACAGAAAACACGCTAATCGGTGCTTTAATTGGTGGCAAGTTTCGTAGGCCACACATTTGCACGCGTGTGCGTACATTTTAGTTTGTGAATCAATAATCAAGTTTATAAATTATTCATTACGACCAATTTTGGAAGTCATTCGCCCCTGATTGGAATCTTGGCAAGGGCTACCCAATCAATGTTCCACAAAAACACATAAACACCGAACGTACAATCGCCCAAACAACTATTCGTACATATGTACATAAATACATATGTATGTATTTATTTAGTAAATAGTGGTTAGTGGAGAGCCCTATTAGAGAACATTTCAAATCAAATTGGGTAATTAAACTTGATTTTCTCTGTACAGATTCAAATTCGCTACAATTGGAGACAAATTTGGATATTAAAGTTATTTATTTAAACTTCTTTTTAATATTTAAATACACTACTTTTATTTGTATTTGCATACAAATCAGAGGAATACTATTTGCTGTCAAGGGTGCACGTATAATTGTTTTACTCAGTGTATCTATGTATGTACATATAGAGATGACTTTCCTGGCAACCCTTTTCCCTCGTACAGACACAGAGAAAGTGATACTTATGGTCATGGGCATAACTAATGTTTATTCAAAGAAATTAAGTAATTAATTAAACAACATTATTTCCACTGGCCCCACAGACACAAACACATACACACACAGATGATGGAGACTACTCCCCTGAGCCACCCATGGGGTTCCACCATTTGACTAGGACATGAATATGCATGTCCACGTCGTTGGCAATACAGTTACGTGTGCGAGAGTGTGCAAATGCAAGTGTGAGTGAGAGTGTGAGTGTGAGAGAAGCTGGCTGACTATCGGATGTCCTTCGAAAATAAAATTGCATGCGCTCAGTCAGTCATGAAATTAAATTGACTGCAAATACAGCGGGAGGGAGGGAGGGAGGGGATTCCAGCCGGAGGGAGCGAGAAAGTCAGCCAGTGAATGTTCGTCTGTGTATGTGAGTGTATGCGACATGTTGTTGCATGTCGTTGTCGTTGTCGTTGCCGTTGCAGTTGCCACAGAGAGTTCTTGTGCTCGCCTTTGGCTGATTTTACATTTTCCAAAGAGACAGAGGGACGGGACGGACAGGAGCGTCTAATTTGCACAACTCTTTTCTTTTGCCGCTGCCTTGGCAAAGTTTAAAGTGACAGGATTAACAGGATGTTGCATAATCCGACCGTCAGACACATGAACAGGATATGCCTGCATGGCCCCCAGACAGTAACAGGACAGAACAGGACAGGACGGAGCACGGCACGGCGTTCTTTCACGACACACAAAAAATGCATAATGCAAATTACACATTTTCAACCCTCCGAAAAGCTTTCACAGCATTTACATACGAACATGTGTAGGAATATAATTATATGTATGTACATACATATGTAGGATGATATGTACATTGTACATACACGGTGTGTCCAAAAAGTGCTTAAACCGCAGGAAAGTATTGATGCTCTTCGACGTTTTCCACAGCGGCAAACAAAAATTCTACAGAAAACTTCACAATGCGAAATGAAATACTTTTTGAAACTCTGACAATCTGTGCTAAGAAAGCCGAGTTTAAAAAATAAATAAACTACTGAAATGATTAAATTCGAATTGATTGAAAAATCATTCTATTAAATGAATTTGCGGAGCATCGGTTGAAGGCATACACAATTCGAAAGCAAATCTAAATTTTTTGATTCTTCTGAGTGCTGAACACTGAAAGCAAGAGCCTCTTCAGTGCTCCAGTTTCTCTGGGCCCGTCGATACATTTACTACCCAATCACAGGGTCAGAGAACTACCTCGACGAATGGAGCTAATCAAATCAAAATCACTCAAAGAAGCATTCCACTGCCAAGCACAAGAAAAATCCATCAAAATTTTCCGTTCGTTAGGAAAACACTTGAATAAATGTATTTTATAATCCCTGGAAAATTTGCTGAAAACATCAAATGAAATGTTCCCGTACAGCAGTAAAATTAATTGAATCAAAAAATGGGCCATAAACATGAAAAATAAAAATGTTCGTGGCACATTAAAAATATCCGAAATGGCCCTACTTCTTTTCATTCTCTAAAGAAACACAGGCCGCATAATGGATATCGTGGCGGCTCGCAAGGTATACACACTGACCTTAAGTTCAAAGTTAATGCATTTCGAATATTTAAATTAACCAAGTTTTTGTTCTTTGATTCAGCAAACATCACAATTTTTATTCTGACTGTAATTGATTTCTTTTTTTTTTGCTGAGTAGACTCTGGCCACCGATTAACTTAATAGCGGAATAATAGAAATTATTTTTTCTGGCAACTATTTTTAGCTGCATACAAATGCGGACTCTGCCTTTCAGCCAAACTGTGTTTTAACAAACGCTGTTGTTCCCAACTTTGTTTGTTCAAGCCCCAAACAATGGGAATAAATTATCAGTTTGTCGACAGTTTCTATGCGATTAAGTCTCCTCTCTCATTTAAAAAGTTACTCGAATGAAACCTGGTATTTTGTTTCCCCTTAGAATTATTTGAACTATAGCACAGAAGAGTTGGAACCGATTACTGCAAATGAAGCGACTAAGCATTGGCACATTTTTTAATACAAATTCTACTGTTTTCTTTTTTTCATAAAAATGGTACGGAACTAAAATTTCGAAATCAAACAAAATATTTTCTTTTCTTGAACACAATTTCTATCACACTGTCACTCGCGGTAGGATAAAAAATGAAGAGGAGAAGGATATGTGTGTGGTACTCACCTTTGATTTTATTAACACCGAATTTTCCCTGAATGTGATTTTGTACTGAGAGCACTTCCATCTTCATAGAATCGCCGTTTGGTCTGCTTAAAACCGTTGCTTTTCGTTGCGTGCCGTTTGCTGCTCGAGTGCGTCTGTGTGTGTGTGTAAAGTACACACTAGTGTGGGCTATGGGTGTGGTGTGGTGTGGTTGTGTGTTCTTCTAGAAATGCAATTTAATCACAAACAAATTTGATTTGATTTGAAGTCCGTGGAAGGGATTCACGGTCGCACGGTGTCACGGATATATACGGATTCGATTCGGATTTTCACTTGGCTGCCCGCGTCTGTCGCGCCGCTCAACAAACAATTGGTAAAAGTATCAACAACTAAATTTGTTATTCTAGTTAAACGTTTAAATTTAATACATTCTAAAAGTCAACGGAAATTGCCGCCCCGTCCCGTTGCCTGCCTGCCACACTCTCTCTCTCGCTGTCTGCCTTCGTCGTTGTTGTTCATTCACGCACAGCACATGGCTCGTTCTGTTCTTTTTGTGATTCTTGTCGGAATTGTAGTTGTTGCTCGGGGAGGTGCTACATATGGCTTGTGTAGTGTGGGGGTGCTGCATCCGTGCGCTGCCCGGTGGATGTGGTGCGTGTGGCGGCCGTTGGAGCTCTGTTTTTAGCTTTTGCCGTTTCTCTGCCTTCTGCCGTTTTCTGTGCTCTGTTCTGTTCTGTTTCTCTGCTCGCTGCCGCTGCTTCAGCTTCTGCTGCTACGGGCAGAGACTTTCCGGCTTGCTTGTGCTCTGTGCTCCACTCAAAAACGCGCGGCGGTCTCTCACGGCTCAGCTGTGCTTCTGCTGCCGCTGAGGAGAGCTTGGGACGACGACGGGCAACTTCTGTGGCGTGCCGGAGCGGAGCAGTTTTCCAATTTTCCAAAGCTACTCCGGCCGGCGGTGTGTGCAGCGCCTTTTATAGGAATTTTCCCGGTCCGGCAGCGCCGTCGACGTCGCAGTCGCGTCGTGCGAATGAGTGGCTTTTCCCTTGACAGTGAACCGGTCTGGCCACTCTTGAGCATGTTTTTTTCTCCAGCTGCGAACAAACATATGTTGGTATCAGCTGTTGTTGCTCACCCAGAGAGACAGTTAGAAAGAGTGAGCGAGAGCGAGTGCGAATGAGACTCAAATTACTCTTGAGTGTTGTGCAAAGAGTACTCAAGAGCATATTTAAGAGAGCCTTAGTTGTGGCTTAGGCGCTCAAGAGAACAATTGTTTGTGACTCTTGAGTGTTTTTTTTTGTAATCTATTTGACAGTAACGGCTGTGCTCGAGTGGCAGTATTCCACTCGGGGAATTGTGGGCAAAATATCGTAACTGAAAGAATTTTCTGAATCATATCGGTCGTCATAGATATTCATAAGAATTATCGCATAGGAGGTGTTATCAGGGGTATTGGGGCAACAATAAGGGTACTATGGGATGGGTAATGGTACTCATGTTATTGCTGTTGCCTTATTGCTCTTTTTTTTCTGTATAAACTAAAAAAAAACTGTTAAAGTCTTGGTTTATTGGGTACTGAAGGGTACGGGGATTACAAAATCATCAGCATCAGGTTTACATATCTGCCAGGCCACGATTGACACGACCATTGTACCGCCTGACGATCCAAATCAAACCCTCCCTCCAAACCTGTCGCCAGGTCCCCATTGTGGGGTGGTGGGGCGTGCGGCGAGATAGAAAACGGAAGAAAATGAATGAAAATGCTTCGCCGACACAGGGCCTGTCACTGTTTTAACAATTCATCTTAATAGAAATAAAAAATGGCGCCGCTAGCGTTGGACAGTCCGGCCCTCACCCCACTCCACACGCCACACCACCCCACCCCACCCACCTCTCCACTGCCATCGTCCAGCTTTTGCTATTTGTCACTGGTTCGTTGTTTGGCGCTGCTGCTGCTGCCGCTGCCGCTGCTGCAGTGGATCAGCATCAGCATCAGACCCTACGACAGAAGCTTTCTCTCCGTATTTCCTTGTTGTCACGTTGTTGCTTTTGGGGCTTATACCCCGCCAGTCGTCTGGTGCAGGGGGTATATTGGTTGCATGCAACGGCGGAAGGTGCCAAAGCTGTGCCATGCACAATTTTAAAGCAAATATCAATTGGATTTGCAGCCAGTTCATAAGCTCGACTAAAGGGTATCCAATAGTCGGCACCTGTGGACTTCTTGTAAAGTCCCTGTTTGGCTCTCTTCTGCTTTGGTCGACCGCCAGCAATGGGGGGGACTTACACATGTCAGTTAATGCTGAAAAAATGTTTACACAACACAATTGCCTTAGGAGCGAGGGGGATGGGGCTGGGGCTGGGGCTTGGGCTTTGGCTGGACTAGGCGTGGGCCCATCAGGGGGTTGCAGCACCGATGCCAAAACTTTTAAAGGCCAGTTTTCCATCATCTTAGTTTAGTTTTTTGTGTTTGTAGCTGGGCGATAGCTGGGGGATAGCTGGAGGTTAGCTGGTGGATAGCTGGAGGGTAACTGGGGGTCGCTGCAGCCGGGAGTTGTCGTTGTCGAACAGGATAAAAGTCAGTGGCGTACAATTAATCAAATGCATGATTTATATTCCTCTAGCCATTCAAGTCTAACCTAAATACGTCCCGCTGCGCCGGATCCTGTCAAATGAGATGTCGGGGGCGGAACAACTTACAGGCAACTCCGTAAAGGTTCCGTACAGTCAGGGTCCCGGACAAGGAGCACACAGGAATAATTTCAACTTTAAGCAAATTCTACATAATTCTGCCAAAAGCTAGGAAAGAGCACAGAAAGAGGCCTGTTCTTGTTTCTGCCCATAAGGAAGAGGCACTGACGACAGCAGGGTACAAAGATTATGCTAAGAATATTCCCGAAAGAATATTTTCAAAATTTCCGCTATTTCCAACTGATTTCACGTTTCAACACAACCTCGAATACCCTTATTATTGGGACTATAAATGTTCCCGTACGCATGCGGTCACACTGCCCCTGCAACTGTCAAAGTGAAGAAGAAAGCGAAAAGTGAACGAAAGCTGAAATTAAAAGAACTGTCAGGCCGCGAAATAATAGAAAAAAAGAGCAAAAATCGAATCATGGCAGCAAGGAAGCCTCAGGTGAGTGGAAAATGATACGAGAAGACATCATAAGTGGAGCAGATTAAAGCCAAAGTCAACACAGATGTTCATGTTCCAAGAAGCGCCAAAGACGGCAGTCGAGAGCGATCAGAGGACTGGAAAAAGGATTTCCAAAGAGCTCAGCAGCGACTCGGATTCCTCAAGCGATCACGACAGCACTTCGGATGATTCCAGCATCAATTCCGGTAAGCCAGGTAATGCCAGTTGAACTGCCGAGTATTATGAAAGTTTTCCAACTTAGACTCAAATTCCTCGGAATGTGGTGGGTGGAATGAATCGCCAAAAGGACAGTCCATGGGGGGGTAAGGCGATGATCATGCATTTTTATGGGCCATATAATTTTCATTCTCTATGTAGCATTGAAGATTTACTGGAGATGTCGTCGCCCACATACGAGTATAGCAGTGGCCCAATGCCATCGATGCCTGTGTACGACGAGGACACCGATCAGTTTAAATCTCCCACTAGCCAGTACACCGGACTGTCCGCTGGCAGAGTCGCTGAAAAGTGGTAGACAGTAATAGATATTTCTATGATTTTGATTCACTTTACCCAAACGAACCACAGGGAAACGCCGGAGGAGCCAGTCAGTGATTATGAGGAGGATTTAAATGGCTTTTCGGATCCCAGCTGTGATTCCGACACCCCGGACGACGAGGAGGAAGACGAGGAAACAGTTCATCCGTTTGGCCAGAGAAAGGAAAGCTGGTTGAAGCTGCCATTGGGCACGGGCGAGGTGCCTTTTCGGTTTGCCAGCTCGAAGAAAGCCGCCCAACAATCCACCGGAAGTGGCAGTGATTACACCGACGAAGAAGAGGCTGCTCGCAGCATGGGTAACGAGTTCTACGATGACAGTGCCAGTCACGGCCAGGACCCCACCGAGACGCTCGTGTTCCAGGCCATCAAGCAGGAGGAGATATTCGAGGAGTACGAGCAGACCTTCCACGCAGTTCGCGCCATGGTGGCGGTGGTGTGCGGCCACTTGAAGTACGACATCCACCAGCTGCTGTATCCCATGCTGGTGCTGACCTATCTGCAGATGGTGGCCAGCGACAACGTGAACGGGGCCATGACGTTCCTGAAGAACTGCGGCAAGTGCTTGGACGACGCCTCCTACAAGTCGCGCCTCGCCAAGCTCATGAAGATCCTGCGGCCCGAGGAGGTGCCCGCAAAGGCGCGTCTGCTGCTCAATGGCAACGAGAAGGTGGAGATCCAGATGTCGCGCGGTGCCTACATGCAGTGCCTGCTCCTCTTGTCGCGCCTGCCGTTCTGCCAGCAGGACAAAATCCTGGGCCACTTCCGCATCCGGATGTACCAGGACGAGAAGCTGCCGCAGCAACGCACCCGCCTGGGACATCCCAGGCTGGACATCATGCTGTGGACAGTGCCCGGGAAGCCCGGAGAACGCCCCAAGATCTCGTCGCCCGCTGCCGGTTCTGGTCGGCGTCGCAAGAGGGAGTTCGCCGCACACACGAACGCCAATATGCCGCCCAGACAACAGCTGTACACGCCCCCGCCGAGTCTCAAGGACGAGATTAAGCGCCGGACGCACGAGCAGCAGCGAGAGGCGCTGGGTCGGGAGCACCTGCCCTCGGTCTACCTGTACACGGCCATGGCCGGGCAGGAGAACATTATCTGTGCGGACTTCTCGGTGAACTTCGACATGGTGGCCCTCGGCACGAACGCCTCCCTGGTGCACGTCTTCTCGGTGGATGCCGCCAAGAAGCTGGAGGATATGACGCTCGACACTGGTAGGTCGGACAAGCGGGACAAGCGCATCCTGTACGGCCACCAGGGGGCTGTCTACGGCTGCGCCTTCTCTCCCGACGACCGTTACCTTCTCAGCTGCTCGCGGGACTCCGATGTGCGTCTGTGGTGCCTCCGCTCGTGGCACTGTCTGGTCATCTACGAGGGTCACCAGAGCCCCGTGTTCAGCGTTGTGTTTGCCCCGCTGGGCTTCTACTTTGCCACCGGCTCGGCGGATGGCACGGCTCGTGTCTGGGCACAGAATCTCAAGAAATCGGCGCGCCTCTTCTCCGGCCACTTGGCCAGCGTGGAGGTGTGTCTGTTCCATCCGAACAGGTACTACCTGGCCACGGGCTCCTCCGACTGCACCGTCCGCCTCTGGGACATCGTGAAGGGCCACCAGGTGCGTCTGCTCAGCGGCCACGCGGCGAGAATCCCCTCGCTGGCCTTCTCCAAGTGCGGCCGCTTCCTGGCTTCTGGAGGCGGCGATAATCTGGTCATTGTCTGGGACCTGCCCCGCGAGCGAATGATCCGCTGCCTGAGCCACCACACGGCAGCCATCTACTCGTGCGACTTTGACATGAACAATAATCTGCTGGTCGTGGGCAGCCGGGATGGCCGGCTCTCCATCTGGGACTTTGACCGCCTCGTCCAGGAGTCTGGACGAGCCCACAAGAACTCGCCCTCCAGACGGCCCACAGAGGAGTTGCTGCTTAAGTCGTATGCCAACGATGAGGGAGCCATCTATAAGGTTTCCTTCACCAGCGGCAATCTCATGTTTGGCGTTCGCCTGGAGTCGACAAAGAAGTCCGAGGACCGAGCTGGAAGTGAACATGGGACGTTTGCTGTATAAAATGATCCCCTAATATTCGATTCGATTTGTGAGAGTTTTTCGAAGTGTATAAGCCAATGAGTTGAATAAAAAATGTATTAACCTCCAAGACAATTCGGCGGGAAACTGGAAACGAAGACATGTACATACGAGTACCAGATGCACGAGTGTATTTTTATGAACATATTTACATATAAGTAGATCAGCGATTGCCAGTGCATGAGCCTTACTTTCAGTTACTTCTCAGTTTAAAGATTTCATCCGAAATGCCACTTGGAATCAGCAGAGCTCTGGAGTAATCAAAGGCTTTTGGTGCACCAGCTAATCCCTGTTCCATACGTATGCCAGAGGCTTATTTGTCATTTGTTGCAGGCGATTTCCTCTAGCTATACTAGACAATGGGCTGTCACCTCCAGGTCCCCCTGTGGACTTTCTGCTTTAGGCTTTGAATCATTAGCGACCACATATCGCTGGTTGAAGTGTGCTTTGCATAGGAATGCTTTGAATACTAGTAAATAAATTATATTCGCACACATACTGGCCCCCAGTGAGATCCACGGATTTAATATGGCAAATCCATTTGGCTGTGTCATCTGGTGGCTCCATTGGAGTATGCCACCTGCACGATGGCTCTCACTGGACACGTGGCAATGGGCCATGAGCCATGGGCCATGGGCCATGGGGGAACACGTCTGCACATTTACCGGCAACGCCAGACACACAAATGCACTTCGGGACTGCTGCTGGTAAGGGGCTGCGTGGGGTGTAGTTCCGCTAAAAGCCCCAACCAAAGCCGGGCCCGGACCCAGGCACTTAGGCTGGCAATCCTTTCTTTGGAAAATCAAAATTCTAGGCAGGGTTCGTTCCAGCAACTACCTGGCGGGCGATGGCTAGGGGAACTGGGGGAACGAAACTACACACAAGAAACTCCCCCGGATTCAGAGCGCTTCCAAAGAGGATTCGAAGGAACGCCTATGCCCGTATGCACCGGCGAATGGACCACTTAGGACGCCTTTGCGGCAGCGGAGCAGGAGGAGCAGGAGGCACAGGAGCAGCCTTGCCACTTCTAATGCGCAGCACGTTTTTCCAATAAAATAGCAACAGCAACAGCTACATTGGCAACAATCCTTTAAGTTCTTCGATACATCTGAGTGGCGCGGAGCGGAAGGCAGTGCAGAGAGAGCCGGTTTTGATACCGTTTATACTTGTGGAGGGCATGTTGAATTCTGGGCAGTATTAATAGCTGCAGTCAGAGACAAAAAAAACACCGAAAGATTCAAAAAAGTATACCAAAAGATTTACCAGAAGATTTACACAAAGAGTATAAATTAGAATGCATAAATACTTAATTTAAATATAATGCACATTAAAAATAAATATATGTTATATTTAAATTAGATACAGAATTTTTAATTTAAACATGGGTGTTTTTACTTTATACTATAACTAATGCTATTACCATTTATTTTTCTATGCGTGCATGGCATCCACAATTAAATATATATCGGCGATCGGTTACCCTTTGTTGGAAAAATATATAAATTATTGTGACAATGTATTAAAAATCAGAAGTTAAATTATACTATACCTGATTCTATAATTCTTATAATTCTTACGATGCCTGGCTTTTTCTAGCGTATCTATTAAAAATCATCACTTTCGGATTACCTGCAAAGTCAGAACGGGATGCAACTTTCTTCCGTTAATTCATATTTAAACCTTTCCTTCACTAGTTTACACTATACACTACACTATTAGATATCTTATAGTCGTAACGTTTGACTGGTTCTCTGAGCTGGTTCTCGCGCCTCTAAGCAAGGAGCCAACTGCGATGAACATCGATTTTCATGTGATTTGTGTAGACGTGTTTGGGTTTTTATTGATTTTCACTTGATTCTCTCCATATGCTTAAATATACTTAAGCCAGTACGTGCACATTTCCATCCGCATTCGCAATTCGCAATCTCACCCTAGCCCCCTCCCCCCTCGAACCATCCCACCATCCCATCGCATCCCAAGTCCATGGCATCCGTACCCTACCGAGGCAAGCAAGCGGCTCTAATGTCAGGATCATGTGAGGTTATCAACATAATTTCCAAAAAAAAAGGAAAAAAAAAACCGCCCATCCGCACCAGCCTCCATCTCCATCTCCAGCCACCAGCCACAAAACATGATTCTAGTTTATGATGTAGTAGGTCTCTGTTTCCTTTCCTTTCCTTTCCTGCACCATCATGGGTGGTGGGGGAGCGTTGATGGAGACGGTGCTGTCGAAGATGGGCGCGTGTGCGGCTTGATAAGACGCAACTCCTCCTCGCCAACAATTCGGCTCAATTTGGTTTTGGCTTCCAGCCCGATGGATGCCCCCGATGCCCCCGGGGAATACTTATTTTTTGACAGCCTAGTTGGCAGTCAGGGAGTCAGGCAGTCGGGCGGGCATCAGGTTGAGGAAAATGTCTTTTTATTTTAAATAGAAAAGCGTTGCTGGAAAAATTTATCGCTTAAAGTTTAAGCTGAAATATAATAAACATGCACAGGAGATATCTCTACTGTAGCAATATAGATATAGATAAATGGTGTGCGTTCCCTTGTTCAACTATCTTTGTGTAGGTATACTTAAAACTCGAATATTTGACTGCAGATCTGCACCCACAAGTCGGGAAAAGATTTCCAAGAGCTGCAGCAGTGCTCTTGCTCATCGTCTCAGGTTTCGTATCCATGACATCGATATATAGATCGATTGGAATTGAAATTAGGCCTTGGACAGTGTCACATTTTGGGTTGGGAGTCCACTCCAAGTGTCCTGTTCTGCCCTGTCTTGTTTCGCGATACACTGGAATGGGAACAGGCCGCCCGGCAATAAGATGTGCCATTGCCAATGGTTGATGGTGGCCCATCAATTTTGGATGGCAATCAAAGTGCCTGGCATTTCTGGAGCCCACTGGGGACGGGCCGGTACGCGTTGGCTACCAGTTTGCGCGCTCGTTACTCATTTCGTTTCGGTATGTCTGACATTTGACATGATTATGTACATTTGTCCCCCGGTGGCACTGGCAACGCGAAAAGCTGACGTAATTTGCAAAACCCCAAACCCAAGCTAAAGCCAAGAAATACTACTGGTTGACTGTGAATGGTTGGGTTGGGATAGGGGTGGGTTGGGTGGTGACCCCGACGAGCGGCAGCTCTAATCTATCAGCGGTTACCTCGAAATTCTTGCACTTTTCGCTCTTGGCGCGACAAGAGCCTCCTTAGCCCCGGCATTCTCATTCACACTTCCTTCTCGCTTTTTTTTTTCGTGTTTCGGGCGGGCTTCTTTCGCAACATCGAGGACATGGGCAGGCGGCAAACATCGCAGGCATCGCAGGCACAAGTGTCCTCACAGCACTTTTTCCTTTTTCGTTTTTTCTTTTTTTTTTTTTTTTTATACTTTGTAACGCAAATTCTGAAGTAAGCATGAATAATGCATGCATTGTGTGTAATTCTTCAAGTACTTTGCTTCAAGCCGTCGACAAGCACACATCAGCAGCGGCCTCCACTACCAGTTGCCAGTTGCCAGTTCTCCAGACCCACTCCCTGTCCCAGTCCCAGGCCCTGTTCCGCCCTTCTAGACCAGACCACAACCTATTTATATTGCTCCTGGATCCAGGATGCCTTTGGTGTGTGTGTTGTGTGTGTGTTTGCGGGGTGTCGAAATTTATTGCGCGCTCTTTGAATTACAAATGTATTTAAATATTTTCTCCTGGGGTACACGAACTACTACTGGGCAAGGGCGTGTGATACTTTTGCTATTATCCTCATAAGCTGCGACTTCATTTCGATGCTGATTCGGCAGAAACTAGTCTACTGGCAATTAATGCAATTATTGCAAATAAAAGCTTGGCTTGATTTATTTATTTCTGTATCGATTTTTGTTGGCTTGCGAAGCTACGGCCGGCTCCATGGCGGGTGGCATCGATGTGCACTTGCGAATGCGAAACGCACAAGAAGCTAATGACAAGGCAGCGGATAACCAAGACGCCCATTTAATGGAGCTGTTTACCTGAATAATGTAGCAAACAAAACAGAGAGTACCCAGCACCCAGCACCCAGTACAAGGCAAAACCTCTGGCAAATGTACAGACCCAGACCCCCAGTCCAGCTGATGGCAATAAAATAAATGTAGCATTCGGCTCGGTTCCCACAACTGTTTGAGGGGCATAGCCATTCAAATTACGGATTTTATATGTCATGAGTGCATCACAAACATGGAATTTACCTACAGCAACGAGTAGGCAAAGTGACAGCTAATGATATGTAATTCAATTGGTCTGCAAATCTTATTATTTTATGTACGATATACCCGTAAGTCGTTCATTACTTTCTGCTTCTACAGTAATAATATTTCCTAGAAAATTACTATTCCCTTTTGCAGCTTTTGCCCTTAAAATTAAAATGCATGGAACATAATTTGACTGTTCCTATTGTGAAATTCTTTCTATCAAAAAGTTTGGCAATTCCTTCGCCAAATCTACGGCAGCCCTTGGACTTAAATGTGTACCGGGGAATGGGTTCGCCCTAACAGGCGGAACGCATCAGTTGAGGCTTTTAAATGTCGACAAAAGTGATGGCAAGCCCAGATCGAAGTGATGAAGCAGACGCACGATGCGATTTAAATTATACAGCAAAGTTACGAAAATATGCACAAAAGTCGAAACTTTACAGTTTTCGGACATTGGATGTTTTAGATGCCTTTTAATGCTATTAGGGACCCCTGACCCGCTGAAGCCTGACCCTCCCCCCACGCGCGTAGGCTTATGGTAGGCTGCTGCCCACCGTTGGAAATTCACTTTGTCATTTACACAGCCATTAGCTGGGGGCAGGCACAAAATGCCGAAAGCATAGCGTTCAGAAAAAAAAAAGCAGAGTGGAATGGAGTCGCCTTTTTATTCTGAACATTTTCTTGGCCCGAGCCGGAGCCCGGATCCGTGTGACACGTTCACAAACGGAGTGCCCGGACAGGGCAGCAGCAGCCCAGCCCAGCCCAGCCCAGACCAGTCCAGCCTGAGAGCTGCCGTTGCCGTTGCTGTTGCCGTTGCTGTTATTGACCAAATG